CCACATGCACTTGCACACAGAAACCAACCTCATACACACACAGAGCAGCCACAGATCACACACTCTCCAGGCTTCTTTCACACACACAGCCAGACCCAGACCCTCCACCGCACACATAGTCACAGACCTCACACACAACATAATACACACAGACCAGCCACAGGCCACACATGCATATTCAGCCACAGACCTCATACACAACACATACAGGCCAGTCACAGGCCACACACACACACACAAGCACACACACACACACACACACACATCAGTCACAAACCTCACATACACATGTGCACGTACACAGTCATCAGACATGAGCTCTGTGAACTGCCAATGAACCTTTACACATACAGAGGTCAATCACATGAAACCCATACCATAAACTATCCATCCACATACACCTTTCCTTTCTCCCCCTGCAGTCAAAGCAGAACAGAATCCTATACAGCCAGGTCCTACATACCCCTCTGTAGGGTTGGGCCGACACACTCACGCGTCCAAACAAACCAGCCGCATGCTAGTCCCCAAGTAAACCAAGACATACACATGCCCCTGGGCCCCTAATGCTGAGGTTCTGAGGGGCTCAGGGCCTCGCAGCCTGTCCTCTCTGCCTCTCAGAGATCCCAGCACTTCCTCTCTCCAAACATCACCCCCACTTCTCTCCCCCCCCTTTGTCACTTCCCCTCCAGGATCCAACTCAGCAGTCTTGACCTCTGGTGGGTTGTGGCCCTGTTTTATTAGCCCATCTCTGTAAAGAAGGTACCACTAGAATCCCAGTGATGATCAGGCCCCCAAAAAACTAGACTAGCAATGGTGGGGGGGGGCAGAATTAGCTTGTGGGAAACTCCCCCCCATGCCCAGCTGAGTCAGCCAGAGGAGACCAACGCTACTTCCTGCTTCCAAGAAAACCCAGTAGCTTCCTCTCCTGGAGAAGGGTGAAGGGTACTTCCTGTACCTTGAGCCCCTCCTCAAACCACACTGGTGGTCAGGCGAGGGGGCTGGCAGGACAGAGGCTCCTAAGGGAGCCTCCATGATCCTCAGCCTCTTCCTGCCCAGCTGCCTGTCCACACCCAAGGGCAGGGACGCGGGAGACTGGGTGCTAAGACTTGTGGCTTCTCGCCCTGGCCTGCCCACTGGCTGACTCAGGGCAGCCCCAGGCCCAGTTTCCTGGTGGGGGCCCTGTCGGTCAGAGGGGCTAGGAGGAAGGGGGGCTGCTAGGCTTTTTAAAGAAGGAAGTCACTCATGCCAAGGCCAAAAGCCCCAGAGAGACCTATGGTTGAGCTTCCTCCTTACCCACCCTCAGGTCCTGGGCCCCTACTGCCCAGCTGGTTGTTGATCTGGAACATGGGGCCTGGCTAGTGCCCAGTGCCAGTTTGGGGGCCCAAGCCAGGTGGGGGAGGGGGCTTGCCTCATGCCCTCCTCATGGGGCTGGCTTTGGCGCCAGTGGGGCGGCATGAGGGGGTGGTGCCCAGGCCACAAAGGTGAGACTGGCAGGGGCCTGGAACCGGCTGTACCAGCTTTACTGGGTTCCCGCCCTCCACCATGGCCCAAACCCCACCCCCTGCCCAAACACTTTAGCATTAAGAGACCCCACACTGGCCTGTGCACTAGTCCTTACCCCCTCCCCTTGTGTCCCAGTCCATCTCTCTTTAGGCCCTGCCTGAAAAGGCCTGCGGAACTTGGCCCCCCATTGGCACTCCACAAAGACCCCTTCCTCCTTTGGTGCCCTTCACATCCCTTCCATCCCTGACTCTCGGCCTGTTGTCCTCTCTGGATGTGATTATCTACAGGATAGTGACAAATGTTTTGGAAGCCAGGAAACTTGGGTTATACCCACCACACAGGATGCTAGGCAAATTTCTTAAGTTTTCTGACCTCAGTTTCTCCTCAGTTAATGAGAATACAAATAGTATGTATTGTGTTGGGTTGTTGGAGGCATTTAATGATTTACTACTACACGGCAACCAGTTAGACAAGTGCCTGGCCTTGTAAGTAAGGAAGCACCATGTAAGTGTTAGCTATTAAAATAATCATTATTATTTTTCAGTCTGCCTATCTTAAGTGTCTCTGAATCTGTCTGTCTCCATGAAGGCCGTCGTTTGTGTCTCTGGCATCTCTCCCTGCCCTGTCTCCATTCGGCTCTCTGGGCCTTACCCTCCATAGCTGACCCTCATTGGCAGGCCCTTGCCTCTGCAGGATTCATTCCCCTGACCTGGCCTGGCTCAGTGCTGCTGGCTGCCCAGGGCTGATTGATTCACTGCAACCTCCTGGCCCAAGGGGCCTGCAGGTCAGCTTCCTAAGGTGCTGCCCTCCAGGCTCCACCCTGCCCAGCACCCCAGTGCTGCCCACTGCACAACTCCCCCCGCCCCCCTGTGAGGCCCAGCCAGATGTCAGCTGCAGTTATTAGCAGGGGCGGGAGACACAGGCCTGGCACAGAGCCTGCCAGACTCAGCGGCCTGCTGGAATCTCCCTTGAGACTGGAGTGGGGGAAGGGAGCAGTTCACCCTAGGGGGAGGGAAAAAGGCATGGAAGGGTCACAGAGACCCTTCCAAGTCAGGGACACCCCCAGCTTCTCATGGGATCTTCCTCCCCTAGACTCTTGCCCTGCTGGACTTCCCCTTTTCCCCAAAAGGTTCAGTTTCTTTCTGGCCTCTTTCATTTTCCTTCTCTTCCCCACACTAGGCAAGTTCAGTTCAATGCCCACAGACGTCCCCCCCCCCCGCCGCCCCCGCCCCAGAAGTTCCCAGGTCCCTCATCCATCTCTTGTCTCTATCCCAAAGAAAGTGCCATCATTCCCAAACACAGAGCCTTGGGGAGGTGCAGAGAGGGAACTTTTGCTCCAAGTTCCCCAATCTGGGCCTCTTATTGCTTGTTCTGGTGGCTCACAGTCTTGGAAGTCCCACCTAAAGTCTTAACTAGAATCCTACCTTCCGTCTGAATGTTAGGGGAGGAGATGTGCTGGGTTGCTGCCCTTGGATTTCCTGCTCACCTCTAGCTGGGGTGGCTGACAGGAGTCCTGGAGTGGGGGAAGGAAGACATTCTGAGTAGGAAGGGACCTCCCTCTAAGTAGTCTGAATGGGAGATCGGACCCCCTGATTGTCCCAACCCCTAGGCACGTATGGATGGGAGAGGGGTGCTCAGACCTCTCGGCCTGGGGAAGGGCACCCCGCCCAAGAGAGGCGGCAGCCTTGCTAGCCCGCCCAGGCGCCGGGGGTGCCTCCAGGCATCAGCCTGCCCGCTCCGCGCCCCGTCGGGCCGGGGGCGAAGTCCGACCCAGGCCCGCGGGCAGGCGGGGACCTGCCAGGCAGGGCTGGGCCGGGCCGAGCCTGGCAGGACGCGGCCCCAAAGCGACTGGGCGGGGCCAGGCCGGGCGGCCGTGGGGGCTCCGGGGGCGGTGGCCGGGGCTGGTCGGGACTAGCCGTCCGGGGGCTGGGGCGCGCCCTGGGACCTGGCAGATACCGGGGCTCCAGGCTCCTGGCTCAGGGCCTCGGGACAGCGCTGGCCCCACCCCTTCCTGTGCCCTTATATGGGCGTCAGGGAGAGCAACTCCGGGGGGGCCGCCCCGCCCCCCAGACTTTGCCCGCGGAGTCCGGCCGTTCCCATGGCTACCAAGCCCCGCTCCCAGGCTGCGCGCCCCCTCTGTCCGGCTAAGGGAAAGGTCCGCGGTTGCCAGGAGGCTCAGGGTCTGGAACCACTGCTGGGGTGGGGGACGGTAACCGGAGGCCCCGGTGGGCTAGGCCCACCCGGCGCGCCCAGGTCTCAGCTCGGGGTCGCACGCCCGGGTTTCTCTTCCGAGGCACGGAACCCAGGCGAAGCCAGGGCGGGGTCCGCGGTCCTGTAGGATACGAGTGACGGAGGTAGGGCCGGGCCCTTTCCCTGGGGGCTGTTGCTACACTTCCTGCCGCCAAGCTCTTTCCCCAGCCTGTTTCTAAGGAAGGGACGAGGGTTGGGCGGCCGCGCCCCTGCCATGGGGCTGGGTCCGGGCCCTGAGAGTCGAGATGGCTTCGTCGATCAAGCCCAGGGGCAATGGGGGAGGCCACTGAAGTGGGGACCGACTATTCAGGCATGTAAGAGTCACCATGAAGGAAGGAGAAGGGGACCCTGGTTATGGAAGCTCCTGTCTGTCCATCTCTGTCCCCATAATCCTGGAACTCCTCCCTCGAATATCTCAGTTGGGAACCCCCCCCCTCTCCTGTCAGTGCCCTTCAGACTACTGTGTCCCAGCTCTTCTAACTCCATCAGAGTGTCTCAGGTGATCCCAGTGAACACCCCCATCTGAGTGCCTCTCACAGACATGTATGTTAAAATCTTCGACTCCATAAATTTCCACGGGTGAAATGTACCCCAGGACCCTCATTCCCTGTTGGCATCCTGCATCCACATACGCAGCACACGCAAACTCACTCAATTTCTCTTAAAATGGGCCTTCCAAGCCGTTCCCAATGTTTTAATCTTTTCCCTTTTCAGTTTTTTCTTGTGAAAATCTCGGAACTCTTCCCCACTCAACCTGGGTCAAGTATCTCCCTGCCCCTTCCTATTTCTCAATTTTGACCCTCTGGTCTTCGTTGGGTGGGAGCCCCCGTGTATTCTGAGCCTCTGGAGCCCTCTAGAATACTTTGGGTCTCTCAGGCCTTATTGCGAACACCCTGGAACCCCCCCCTTCTCTTTCTCCCTATGCCGTTCTCCTGGTGCATTCCAAGGGAGCTAGCTATGCACTCCCTTTAACCTCTCCCTCGGGTGCTTCACGCACCCCAGCAGCTCCTCGGTGGTACTCTGGGGTCCCTCAGCCCCTCCCTTGCAGACGCGCCGCGCCACCCGGGCCCGTGGCCGCTGTTTACAAGGACACGCGCTTCCTGACAGTGACGCGAGCCGCCTCCTCCCCTTCCCCACGCTCGAGAAGGGGGGCGCGGGGGCCGGGCTCGGGCGACGGCCAATCCGAGCGCACTTCCGCAGCTGACAGGCCGTATAAAGGGGAGAAGCTGGGCTGAGCGGCAGGGACCTTGAGCGTGGCCAGGCCATCTTCAGAGTCTGCAGGGTAAGGGGCACAGGGGGCAGCGACGCCGAGGACGCGAGCGCGCACCAGAGAGAGGGCGAGAAGGACACGGGGAGCCGGGTAGAGCTTTCGCGCACAGCCGCCAGCTGGCCGCTCCCCGCCCGAACCTGTCCCCAGGAACGCGTGTCACGGCTCTCAGTCCGGCCAGCGGCGCGGACAGCTCGGCGCTCGCCGCAGCGAGGCCCGGGGCGGCCCTGCAGGGACCCCCCCTCCAAGCCCGCCGGGCCGCCCGGATGTGCACTAAAATGGAACAGCCCTTCTACCACGACGACTCGTACGGAACAGCGGGCTACGGCCGGGCCCCTGGCGGCCTCTCTCTACACGAGTACAAACTCCTGAAACCCAGCCTGGCACTCAACCTGCCCGACCCCTACCGGAGCCTTAAGGCGAGCGGCGCGCGGGGACCCGAGGGCAGCGGCGGGAGCAGCTACTTTTCCGGACAGGGCTCGGACACGGGCGCATCGCTCAAGCTCGCCTCGTCGGAGCTGGAGCGCCTCATCGTCCCCAACAGCAACGGCGTGATCACGACTACGCCCACGCCACCAGGACAGTACTTTTACCCCCGTGGGGGTGGCAGCAGCGGAGGTGCAGGGGGTGCCGGAGGAGGAGGCGTCACCGAGGAGCAGGAGGGCTTCGCAGACGGTTTTGTAAAAGCCCTGGACGACTTACACAAAATGAACCACGTGACGCCTCCCAACGTGTCCCTGGGCGCCAGTGGGGGACCCCCGGCCGGGCCTGGCGGCGTCTACGCGGGTCCCGAGCCACCTCCGGTCTACACCAACCTCAGCAGCTACTCCTCGGCCTCTACACCCTCCGGAGGCTCCGGGTCCGCCGTCGGGACAGGGAGCTCTTATCCGACGGCCACCATCAGCTACCTCCCCCACGCGCCACCCTTCGCCGGCGGCCACCCTGCGCAGCTGGGCCTGGGCCGGGGCGCCGCCACCTTCAAAGAGGAACCACAGACGGTGCCGGAGGCGCGCAGCCGCGACGCCACGCCGCCCATGTCCCCCATCAACATGGAAGATCAGGAGCGCATCAAAGTGGAGCGCAAAAGGCTGCGGAACCGGCTGGCGGCCACCAAGTGCCGGAAGCGGAAGCTGGAGCGCATCGCGCGCCTGGAGGACAAGGTGAAGACGCTCAAGGCCGAGAACGCGGGGCTGTCGAACACGGCCGGCCTCCTCCGGGAGCAGGTGGCCCAGCTCAAACAGAAGGTCATGACCCACGTGAGCAACGGCTGCCAGCTGCTGCTCGGGGTCAAGGGACACGCCTTCTGAGCGCCCCCTCCCTTACGGACACCCCCTCCAGCCTGGACGGCTGGACGCACGCCTCCCGGGGGGGTCGAGGAGGCAGGCGCGATGGACACCGGCCCCAGGGGTCTAGGGGGATCCACACTGGACTCCAGCCCCCGTCCGCTCTCTCCCAGTCCTTCCACCTCGACGTTTACAAGCTCCACGACCACGGTTTTGGTTTTGTTTTTGTATTTCCCCCCCCCCTGCCAGAAGCCAACTCGATTCATATTGAATATTGAATATAATATATTTGTGTATTTAACAGAGAGGGGAGGAGGGGGCGATCGCGGCGGAGCTGGCCCCGCCGCCCGGTACTCAAGCCAGCAGGGACACTGGGGAAGGACCTCCGCCCCCTGCCCTCCCCCCTCTGCACCGTACTGTGGCGAAGAAACACGCACCTGGACTCTAAAGAGTTTATTTTAAAGATGTTTATGTGTGTGTGTGTGCGCATTTGTTGTTCTGACTTTTTATTGAATTTATTTAAGTAAAGAAAAAAAATGGTTCTTTATTAATAATTTCTGGAGTCTTTTTTTTCCAAGCCAGGCGGGTGGAGGGAGGAGAGTATTGGGTTGCCTTCACCCCAGTGCTGTTCAGGGCTCAGACCTCCGGGGGGGGGTCCCAGCTCGGTCCCCAGGGGTAAGAAGGTCCAGGGAGGGGTCTGGGTAGGGGTCCAGTGGCCTAACAGCGAGGGGCCGCGAGCCTGGATCGAGACGCTGAACGCGCAGGCGTGGCCCCGCCCACCAGCTCGCGCCGGGGCTTTCCCCGCTGACGCAGCGGAAGCGATGCCCATATAAGGACCGATTCTGCCCTGTGACGCGCCCGCGGTCTCTGGGCAGATTCCGGGAATCCCCTCCCCCGCTCTGCCCGGCAGGGCCGCGGCGCCGGGAAGGGGGCCGGGATTTTCCCGGGCAGGCGGCTGTCCGGGCCCGGAAAGCCCCAGGCCTAGGTCCAGAGCTCCTGCGGTGGGCGGGCCGCGCTCCTGGTCCCCGGGAACCGCCTCCAGCCTCCCCCATTAGGCTGGCGCCGGGGCCTGGTCGCGTCCACGCCCCCTCTGTCTGACCTGACCCGGGCGGGGGATTGCTGCAGCCTCCGCGCCTTTACCACCGCCGTCCCCCACCCTACCCTGCCCAGGAAGGGCGGTGCCCGCCTGCCAGTTTCCCCTCCCGGCTGCCAGGCCGGGAGCAGGCCGGCTGCCAGGTCTGGTCCTGCCGGGGCGACTGCTGGGGCCACCGGGCCTCCCTCCCCTGCTGCTGGGATGGGTGAGGGGCGGCTGTGGCCGTGGCTGGAGGCCTCCAGAGCAAACCAAAGAATAGAAGCCTGGCTATGGGGGCAGAGCGGGAAGAACAGATACTGCTTAATTTATTTATGAAATAATAACCAACCAGGCTCTGGAGACGGTGGACGGCCGTTAAACAAGTAAACATGATTCCTTGACAGTGGCAAGTTCTAGGAAGGACCAAAAATGGCTTCTGGTCTCCAGGTCGGTGGTAGCATGATGGTACCAGAAAACTTAAACTGCGTTACAGCGAGCATTTAGAGAGTGGACTTTAAAATGAGTCAACTTTTCGGATTTGCAGGAGGTGACCCTGAGAAAATTCTAGGAAGAGCAAGCTAGGCAGAGGGAACACTGTCGCAGTTCCTGTGGCCGGAACAAGATCAGCCTGTTAAGAATCAGCCAGAAGCTCAAGGGTGTCTGGAACGGAGTGAGCCACAGACCGGGTAGATGAGGTCAAGGAAGGCCAGGCAGGACCTCAGAGTGGAGGAGGGTAGGTTAAATTCTGAGGGAGATGAGTGACCCTTGGAGGGAATTAGGCCAGTATCAATGTTAATGGGCCTAGGAAGTAAATGATTTTAAGAACTAAAGGACTCTTCTCAGCTCTATGCCTGTAGTTGGAAAAATCATTTGTCTGATCTTACATAGCATTGGGAACACTGTCTTGCTCCTGACACTAGCCTCACCTGATCCATGTCAAGTGTAGACAGGCAGTCCTTACAGGCTGGAAGGACCACCGCAGAAGGGGCTGTGCATCCAGGTCAGGGCTGGGTCCCAAAACCTGGCTCCAGTGGGTTATGTCCTCCCCAAGCAACTACCCTCTTAACCTTCAACTCCGTAGGGACGGAGCCATTGATTTACATGTTTTATCACTTTTAACTTGCATGGTGATAGTGATACTGTTTTGTCGTCTTTTATCTTATTTTCTGGATGTGGAAACCCAGAGAAGATCACAGCGATTACAGGACATTTGAATGCAGATTAAATGATGACAAGGTTAGGTATGGGATTGGCCTAGTAAGGTCAGGCTTCGGATCCAACATCCCACATTACAAACCACACTGTCAGGACAAGAAGATAGGGTGGGGAGGGTGGGAGCAAGTTAGTGAGAGTGAAGCAAGGCTGCCACCTTGTGTTACAGCCCAGTAACTGCGGCATCGGCTTCTCAGACCAGAAACCTCAGGGTGATGGATTAAAGCCGGGAATGACACAGATTCACACCTGTTCCTAATAGTTTATTATGAATCACCGAGTACTGTGCCTCCATGAGTGGGCCCTGGGAAGGGGGGGGGGTCACTATTCATTAGTTCTCCCCAACACAGGGGAAGAATAGTGAAGGAAAAGGCCTAGCCCAAGCCTTGAGGGTCCCAGATCCGAGTTTCAACAGAACAGGGCAGGCCTTTTCCTGGGTCAGTATAGGGCACCCAGGCAGGGGCACAGGTGGGGACAGAGGACCTAGACTTGTCCTCTGCCTGCCAGTCTAGTTGTGTTTGGAGAAGTATTCCTTGCTGTCATCCACGTTGGGCTTGATCGTGTCACTGCCAGGCTTCCAGCCAGCGGGACATACTATAGAAAGACATGGGGAAGCATGTGTGAGCCTCATGTTCAAGTAAAGGACAAAAGCAGGGGCCCTAGAGGCAAAACAATGACCTGAGCTACAGAAGAAAACACCTGAGGCTTAGTGGTCCAAGCCCAAGAATATGCATGCTGACAGAAGCCCTCCATTCTGTCTCCTGTGTCTACCCTCATGGGCCCAGCTGCAGTATTTTCTGGCTGATAGTTCTCTGGCTCTTATCTCTGTCCCTCAGCCCAGCCCTAGTGGACTCTGAGAGTGTATAGCCAGACCACCTCGTTATATGAAAAAATACTGTGATCCAGCTAGCATTATTCAAGCCTGACTTGAAATGTCTAATTCCTTCTTTTAAAAAAAAAAAAGTTTTATTATTTTGTGTGTGTGTACTGTCAAATCGATCTGATTAGTACAGGAGGAGATTGACCCCCCCAACCCCCCTTCTCCAGCAGAGCATCTGGTTGTCTAATTTCTTCTATGGCTCCTGTTACCTCCCAGCTTGCCTAGAAGGATAGGCATCCTGAAGACAAGGCCTGAACAGAATTGTCTTCGGGGTCCTAACATCCCACTATTCAGGTAGTATGGGAGGCAGACAAATGTTTATATGAGTGATGGAGGTGAGTGTGTAACCCACTCACCTTCCCCATGCTCATCTGTGTACTGGAAGGCCTGGACCAGCCGCAGAGCCTCTTCCACGGAACGCCCCACAGGCAAGTCATTGACTGTGATCTGACGAAGGATACCCTTGCCATCGATGATAAAAAGGCCCCTAGAGACATTAGGGTCACAGTGAAGAACCAGGAACTCCTGAGGCCAGAAGCAGGAGCACCCACCCACCTTCTGCACTTCACAGGCCTTGGAGCAGAGAGAGCATTGTCCAAGCATGGTCCCCTTACCCTGGAGACGAGGCTCCCAGAGCCTGGCTGAGGATCCCTTCCATACCTGTAAGCAATGCCCTCATCTTCCTTCAGCACACCATAATCAAGGGACAAGCTTCTTGTCACATCTGCCAGCAAGGGGATGTTCAGAGGGCCCAAGCCGCCTTCCTTCCGGGGTGTGTTGATCCTGGGGGTTGGGGAGACAAGACTGGAAACTGAGGGGGCCCAGAACAGCAGCAGGCTCCTTGCCCTTTGGGCCCAAAAGAGATAAAAACTGGGATGGGGGCCCTGGAGGTGGGAGATAAGGGCTTTCAGTGCCTTCCTGGGCACCCCACCCACCCCACCCTAGTGTAAGTCCAGGGGTTGGTTCTAGCAGCTGGGCCAACTCGGGCCCGCCTGAGTGCCTTCACATGTGCTTCTAACAGAAAGAAGCCCAACATCATGCAGAATGCAGGTGTTAGAGCCTAGGCCACTTCTTTAGCTCTGTGAACCTGGGGCCCAGCCCTTGACTCCCTTGAACTGGAGTTTCCACCTTTAGGTAATGAGGCAATCTATCTCCCTCCCCAAAAATGAGTGAGATAAAGCATCTACAACTCTGGGCGCCAAGCAACTCCTTCTCAAACGTTAATTACTGTCATCAGGGCTTTGACTGGGTGTCATTATTTCCATTCTTTTCGGGATGGGAAAAGGGAGGCCTGAGGTTGGGCAATGGTCAGAGCACACAGCTAGGACCCTAAGGTGTGGGCCTCTTGCTGCCCACCAGCCCCTCCGTCCCCCACACCCCAGTCTCTCAATCCCACCTCCATCCCCTGCATACCAAGCCAGATGCGTGAACTGCGAGTCCACGGAGACCCCCAGCACCTCGCAGCCCAGCTTGCGGAAGTCGTCGGCATGCTCGCTGAAGGCGATGATCTCGGTGGGGCACACGAAGGTGAAGTCCAGCGGGTAGAAAAAGAGCACCACGTACTTCCCTGGGTGCGGGGGTGTCAGCAAGGAGTTAAGGCCCAGACCTCCGTTTGCCTGGGCCCTAACTCCCTGGGCCCCCTCCACGCTGCCCTCACCTTTGTAGTCGGAAAGCTTCACCTCCTTGAAAGCGCCATCCACCACTGCAGTGGCCTGGAAGTTGGGGGCGGGCTTTCCGATGTGCGCGTTGCCGGAGGCCATGACTGAAAGCTGAGACCACCCCCACCTCGCCTGGTCAGCGTGCCCGGGAAGACCCTTTGTCCTCCCTTCCCAAGGTCACGCTGCGTCCCAGGTCCCGTTAGAGCGGCGCGGTCGCAGCACTGGCCCCCCCCCCCCCCCCGTCCCTGGTACCCGGTTTGCGGGACACCAAGGTGGCGAGGACCCGCCCCCTGACCACAAGACTAGCGGCCGGGCCGCCGCTGCCAGGCCCTCTGAGCCTGTCGCCCGAGGGTAGTGGCGCCAGCAGGGGCGAGACAAAGGAGCCCCCCCGTGAGCAGGGAGAGGGGTGCACAGTGACCCAGTCTGCATTCTGAGGCTCCGGCCGCGGTTTCCCCAGCAAGGACAAAGGCAGCCACCGCGGCCGGAGGAAAACAAAGGCGGCCAGTGATAAGGTGCGGATGGGGCCGCGGCCTGCTCGAAAGTGGGTCCCCCAGGTGGGTGCGCGCGCGGTACCTGCGTGGGGTAAGGCCGGACACGAGGACAAGAGCAGCGCAGACTCACGTTCTCGGCGTCAGGTGCGCCCCGGGCCGCACAAGCCTTTTATGAGCGGCCTGAACCATGACGCGCAGGGCGCGGGGGAGCGCGGAGCGGTCGGGTCCACTGCGCCGGGCCGAGGGGGTGCGCAGCTGGTGGGGTCCACGCGCCTGAACCCGCCGGAGGAGGCCCGTAGCGGCCGACTACGACCATTGCCCCGGCCAACTGGGGTAGCCTGGCCGGAGCTGGACCCTGGAACTCGTGGTGGGCGGTTGGCGTCCCGCATGGCCTGGAGTCCGGCGGCGCTCCTGCTGCTGCCTCTGATGCTCCCGTTGCTGGCGACGTCCGGCCAAGACCTCTCTGACTACCAGTACTTCGGCCAGCCAAGCGCAGGCGACACCTGGGAGCAGCTGAGGCTGCTGCAGCTGGAGAAAGGTAACCGCAGGATGCGGCGATGAAGGTGTGAGGGTACCATTCGCAGGTGCGGGGTGGTGGGGGGTACGACCCTACCAGCTGACCACCTCCCACAATGCTAGATCCCTACTCTGTTTAGTTTGGTGGTTACTTTTCTCTCAGGATCAGTTTCCCCATCTGTAAATTGGTAAACAGATTGCCTGTAAATAGTGCACAGTTGGAAAAGAGGGTGTGAGCTGACCGGAAGCACAAACGCGGACGGTATGTCAACTCTTGGGTGGGGGTTTGCTGCCTTTGAGGCGACTATGATTCATAGAGACCCTGTGAACTACAGATCTATCAGAATGTTGCCCTAACCTGCTCCATCGTCACGATCTCGGCCATGTTCAAGTCCATTGTTAAAGAGTGACTGTGTCGCTCTATCTCCTTGAGGGTTTTGCTCTCTTTCACTGACCCCTCTACTTCTGCCAGCACGTCCTTTCTAAGGACTGATGTTAGGAAGAGCAGAGCTGGAGAAAGAAGGAGATGGTTCAGTGTGGGAAAACAGAGACAGCTCTGCTGAGGCAGATACATAATCAGTGCAGTCAGGAAGACAAGCAAAAGCCAAAACTGCAAGAAATTGGTGGAACTGGATGTTCCAGGGAGAGAGAACAGCAAGTACAAAGGCAAAAGGCCCAACGGAGGCGTGGAAAGAGGCCAGCTAGGTGGAGGCCTGTGGAGGAGACAGTGGCAGGGCACGTGGCTGGGCCCTGTGAGTCTGGGATCAGGGTAAGACCTGCCTCAGAAAGGCGTGGGGAGGAATCAACCTGAGAATGCTTGTAAAGGACATCCAGTAAGTGCCAAATAAGTAGCTGCTTTAAAAAGTGATCATAAAGGTTGTTTTTGTTCTGTGTGCTAACACAGTGCCAGGGGCTTTAAGTATCTTCATGATGTCATTTAATTATGTCATTTAATTAACCACCTAACAGCCCTGCTGGTCTGGTGGCAGAGTGCCCACTGGAGAGGCCAAGGCCACACCCCTCAAGGCCAGAGTCAGAGACAGGCACACAGAAGTGTTGTACCACACTCCCAGCTGGCAGGTTGGCATAGGTGGGAGGTGTGGGTTTGCACCCTAGTGAGCCATTCACCAAATGTGCCAGCATAGGATGGCTTGGTCACTTTCTGCATTTGACTGAAATGGCTTGAGGAAGACATAAGGGGACTCTTTCCCTATATTTGAGTCTTCAAGGACTCACAGTGGCACTGTGTGTAAGGCTGTTAACCAAGGACAGTGGTCTGAACCCACCAGCTGCTTCCCAGAGGAAAGATGAGAACAGTCTGCTTCTGTAAAAATTTACAGCCTCGAGGGAGCTCTGGTGGCCTAGTGGCAAGAAGCTACACTGCAATCCCAGATGTGCCTGGTTCGAATCCACCAGATGCTCTGCTGGAGAAGGAGGGACAATCTCCTCCTGTACCAGTCAGATCTGATTTGACGGTACAATGCACAAAAAATAATAAAATTTAAAAAATTTACAGCCTCAGAAACAAAACCCTATGAAGCAGTTAGTGCTATTCCGACCTATAGTGTTGTTAGGGAGCACTGGTAGCTTAGCGAAAAGAAATTGCACTGCCAACACAAAGGTACGCAGTTTGAATCCACCCCCTGCTTCACCGGAGAAAGCTGAGCAGTCAACTCCCGAGCGATTTACTACCTCTGAAAACCTGTTGGAGGGTCAGCTATGGCTCAGTTCTGTCTCATCTGAATTGATTTGACCGCCGTGGGGCTCTGGGGACCTAGTTCTTCATCTCAACTTTTTACCCATAGACCTTGAAGACAAGATCCTGAGCCCGTGGGGAAGGTGGCGCTGTGTCTGCCACTTAGGGAAGGAGGAGCGCAGCCGAGAGGTGGTGGGCACTGCACCGGGCCCAGTGTTCATGGATCAGAAGAACCTGGTGCAGGTGCGCCCCTGCCGGCAACGGCACTGTCCATTCTGTAAACCGATCCAGTGCAACTGGAGGCCCTGAGCCAGGGGTGAGAAACAGGATAAAAGAGGGTGGAGCCCTTATGGGGATGTGGAGTCCAGAGGCGTGAATGTCAAGGGTGGTGCAGGGTGAGCCGAAGGGTGACAAGGGTCTAAAACCCAAACGCAAGGGGTATGACCTAGGTCGTGGAGACCCATAGGTAAGAGGAAGGCAGCAGGAGACAGGAACAAGGAAGATGTGGAGGGATGAACTAGGACTTTGAGTAAAGGATGGTCGTCTGGTGGGGAGAAGTCGCCCACCTGATGAGGACAAGAGAGAGTCCCGCTGAAACCTGGGAATAGAGGCAGAGAAGTGGTAAGGACCACATACAGAACTGGGAGGCATGAACCTTGGAGAGACTGGGGAAGAGGAAGGGCAGTGGAGGCTTGTGGGAAGAAGAGATAAGGAAGCTCGGATTGGGCAATGAGCCTGTGTGGTGAGTTGGAAATCTGATATAAACCTGATTGAAGTCTGGAATACCGATTTGGAAGTGAAGGAGGCTCAGTCTCAGTGAGAAAGGGTAGGAGGCGCAGAGCAGGGCAGATGGAGGACACAGAGAGAGTGGAGGGGACCCCCATGATGACTCGAGTCCAGGTAGGAGTGAAGGCCCCTAATTCAGGTAGATTTGACTCTGTGTGTGTGTGTGTGTGTGTGTGTGTGTGTGTGTGTGTGTGTATAAGTATGCTCAGTAATGGGCCTGAATCCAAATTTGGGGACCGAGACTCGAGACTCGGTGACGTGGAGACCTATACTTGCAGAATGTAGTTGCATATGCCTTTACACACACACACCAAGAGTCAAGAGCTCTTGCAGAACGTAGTTGCATTTGATCCTCTAGACCCATTCACTCCGTATGCCTTTACACACACACACACATACACACACACCCCCCACCCCCCAGAGTCAAGAGCTCTGTTTGACCACGGGTTGCCAACCCAAAGACGAGCAGTTCAAATCCACCAGCTGCTCCGGGGAGGAAGGATGGGCAATTCCCACTCCCTCCCCACCCCCATCACGGGAGTCTCTGAAAACCCTCTTGAAGGGTCAGCTATGAGTTGGTTTTAATGTAGCAGTAACAACGACTACTGGAGTTTGGGTCTTCCATGGCCTGTCACAGTTTCTCGTTCTATTTTCCTTGTCTTTCATCAGCTCCTTTGGGTGGGGGTCTGGAGCCTATCGTGCGGAGGTTGGAAAGCCGCCCAGTCTACGGAGTGACCCCACCAAAGAGCGGCGTGCTCGATCTTGAGAACTACAATTCCCAGGAGGCTGCGCGGGAGCGGCGTCGACGGCAGTAGGGCAAACGTCAGGGGCGTGTCCTGCGTGCTGATTGGTCGCTAGCGAACGCCGCTGAGCTCGCGCGAGACCCGCGCGGAAAAGTTTGTTTGCGGTTGTCTTCATTGTGGCTCGTGGTCGCTTCGAGTTGGCGGCATGGATCTCAGCGAGCTGGAGAAGGACAATACGGGCCGCTGCCGCCTGAGCTCACCTGTGCCCGTGGTGTGCCGCAAGGAGCCCTGCGCCCTGGGCGTGGATGAGGCGGGCCGGGGCCCGGTGCTTGGTGCGCCCCCAAGGCCAGGGTGGGGGAGGGGCGCGAGAGTAGTGATGTCGGTGGCCTTGTGCCAGTGGGCATGAAAAGCAGTGATGATGGCGCAGGGATGGGGGCTTTCTTGGGCTCGCACCTTGCACTCGGGATCACCCCACTCGTGGAAATCTGACACCCCTCCCCCCCAGGCCCCATGGTCTACGCCGTCTGTTATTGTCCTCTGTCCCGTCTGGAAGATCTAAAGGCTCTGAAAGTAGCAGGTGAGCCAGAGGCGGGGTGTGGAATGGGGATGGGCAAGGTGGTTTCCCTTGCAGGGACAATTGGGAACTGGAGGAGGAGGCAAGGAACCAAGAGAGGCAGAAATGTTCTTTTCCAATTCCCCTCCCAGATTCAAAGACTCTGTCAGAGAACGAGCGGGAACGGCTCTTTGCAAAAATGGAGGAAGACAGGGATTTTGTGGGCTGGGCACTGGATGTGCTGTCTCCAAACCTCATCTCTACTAGCATGCTTGGGCGGTGAGCACCCTTCTTTCCACACCACCCTACCCCGGCGTTGTCTCATTGGAGGCAGGAGGTTGAGAACTTGGGGGTATTTTCGAGCTGGCTGAAAAGGAGTTAACTGGGCTGTGTTCTTGCACCTCAGGGTCAAATACAACTTGAATTCCCTGTCCCATGATACGGCAGCCGGGTTGGTGCAGTATGCGCTGGATCAGGGCGTGAATGTCACCCAGGTGAGCCTAAGTGATCAAATATCCGGGATGTCCCCATTAAATCATTTCTGCATGAAGTAGGAGTGAAAGTACAGGGGCAGGTTCTGCATCTGAGCCATGGCAAGTGCCCCACTAAAGTTTGTTACTTTTGTCTTTTGCCCCTTTTCTTGCCTGACCGTTTGCCCCACTGAGCACTAGTGTGGAACCCTCCTAGTTCCCCAGCCCTTAGTCTCTTTTCAGAGACTGTCCCAGAACAAATCTCATATCTGTCCACTTGCCCACAGCCCCCATCTTCACCCAGGACACAGTGCCCTTAACCACCTGCCCATAACCCTGATCTTTACCCAGAACACAGGACGAGGGTATGTAGAAAAGGGGCGCGAAACAGCGATTAAAAGAAAATACAGGCATAATTTAATCTTTAAGAAGGGGGTCAGTGGGGGTCCTGGCGCTGTTGGGGCTGGGGCCCAGGGAGGCCAGCCACATGCACACCCCCAGCCCCAGAACTATGCAAATAGACTATTAAATTAATTTTACCCTAAAAAAAAAAAGAAGGGGGTCAGGGGACTACTCAACTCAAGAAAGAGAAGCGTACAGGTAGCCTTTAGCCTTCGTATTAGTCCTTTTTTTAAAAAAAAACCCAACACCTGAATGTGTGATCTGTTCATTTAACTGATAATGGCTCCCACTCTGAAAAATCTTTAGTAAAAAAAAAATCTTTAGTAAAAATACCGAAAATTAGTATGCTCCAGACAAACTAGAGTATTACTAGTTGTCTTATTTTAAAAATAAAAAATAAAAATTATTAATTATAATGAAAATTTACAGAGACTTTGGAATTCCATTCATTCATTGTTGCACTTTTCTCCTCTTCCAACCCTTACCCCTAGTACACTATCCTTTTGGAAAAGTAAAAGAAAAATTGTTTCATTATTATATAATCCCTCCCCCAAGTCCACTTCACTATGCAGCCTTAGTTCTAGACTCCTGTCATGACAGTAATACCTAATCACATATCGCTTTTAAGCAGTTTTCTCCCTCATCTGTTTCAGTGCAGTATATGTAATTAAATCCCATCTTTCTCAGTCTCCCCCCAACCCCAATGTCACTCCTATTTTACAACAGTGGCACTATGCAGTGTTTGTCCTTTTATGACTGAGATATTTCACTCAGCATAATGTCCTCCAGGGTCACCCATTTTGAATAATACTGCATGAGTTCCTTTTTTTTCAATGCAGCATAGTATTCCATTGTGTGATTATACCACAGCTTCTTTTTCAGTTCACTTGTTGATGGGCTATTAGTCTTCTTAAAGAGCAAGTTAAGACAAACAACTTTGGGTTTTAGTTTCGAAGCAAGCACCATAGTTCCATGGACTCTTTGGCCCCTCCACCACATCTGGGAACTTAGCATGTTGAGATAATTACTTGGTCGCATTAGCAGTTCCTCACTTTCCTGAGTTTCTGTATATCATGTGTAAATGCTCTGCCATCTTCACATGATCGTGGCAGGAGTACCTCTCCATGGGGGTCTCCCACAGTTGGGTAGAGGAGAGATTAAATTGCCAAAGAGAAGTGTTAATCAGCATTGCATTGAGGGAACAGAGGCCAAGAACAGGCTGTTTAGAGATAATAACAAGGGCAAATGCCTGAGGCTGCAAAGGTAGCAGAGGAGGCCTCCTTGAAGAGGTGTTTCAGGCCTGTGCTCTTTATGTGGTAGGACAAAGCAGCCCTGGATCCAAGGATTCAAGGTCTAATATGAGAAGACATTCAGCTGGTAAACAAAAGAAATGCATATCTGCAAATAGTAATGATCCCACAGATACCATTTGCCTCTGTTACTTCTCAGGTCTTGTTTCTCCACATTCTGTTCCATCGATGAGGCCTGCTACTGCCCACCAGGGCCTGGAGCACTTTTTCTCAGAACTCTGCATGGCTCCGTGATTCCCCTGTTTCAGCTCTTTATAGAAACATTACTTGTTCAGGCCTTTCTTAAACCTCCTTTTTCACCTCTTACTGGAAGCAGGAATGGCATCCGCTTCCTAAACAGCATGCCTCTGGAAACTATGAACTTTGATAAATGACGATAGTTATAGAAAGGTTTCAGGCCTTTTTTTTTTTTTTTTTTTTAAATTCTTCTGCTGCTTTTTCTTTCTTTGGGTATTTCTAATGTTTTTCTTTCTTCTTTTTTGTTTTGTTTTACTTAAATTTATTATTAATTTCAGTAAAAATTTTCCGAGACTTTGGATTTCCATTCATTCATTGTTGCACTTTTCTCCCCTCCCAGCCCTTCCCCCTAGTACACTACCCTCTTGTAAAAGTAAAAGAAAAATTCTTTCATTGTTTTACAAACGCTCCTCCAGGTCCACTCCACCATGTAGCCTTCTCTCTAGACTACTGTCATGACAAAAATACCTAATCACATATCTCTCTTAAACAGTTTTCTCCCTCATCTGCTTCAGTGCAGTATACATAATTAAATCCCATCTTTCTCAGTCTCCTCCCAACCCCAATGTCAGTCCTGTTTTACAACAGTGGCACCATGCATTATTTATCTTTTTGTGACTGAGATACTTCACTCAGCATAATGTCCTCCAGGGTCACCCATTTTGAATAATGTTGCATGAGTTCCTTGTTTTTCAGTGTAGCATAGGATTCCATTGTGTGAATATACCAGAGCTGCTCTATCCATTCGTTTGTTGGTGGGCACTTGGGTTGTTTCCAGCTCCTTGCTCTCGTGAACAAAGCCATGATAAACATGGGTGTGTGTCTCAGGCCTTTTGTCCATGGGTCTCTTTGAGTCGTGTTTGACTCGACAGCAATCAACAAAAACAGCAATCCCCTCTTAAAATTATAATTCCTTTTGGCTGTCCCTGAGGCTTTTATTTGTCCTGTTTCTTGTCTGTGTCCCTCACCAGAGTGTCTACTCCACAAGGGAGGGATTATTACCTGCCTGACCTGGCACCATAAGTTCCTAATAAGTATGGGAGAGATGGATGGTAACACGGGATGCAGGATGATAGAAGGAAGCCTCTAAGGGGAGTTGTGCTTGCTAAGATCCGTAATATGAATTGGTAAGAAAGACCTAGTCTTCAGATGAGTTGGAAGAAAAATATTACGGGTGACGGACAGAAATGCAGAGGCCATGAGGCTTGATGATTTGCACGGTCTTATACTGTCTTGGAGAAGGTAAAACCAAGTGTCGTCTTGGAGGCTAGGATTTTGGAGCTTTATCTCACATGCCCAAAGGCATGTGTCCAAGAGGGACCAGTCCTTGGAGAAGGACATCATGCTCAGAAGGATGGAGGAAGATCCTGCATGAGATGGATTGATAAAATAACTGGGACAGTGGGGATTGATGTTTTGGAACCAGTGAGACTGGCTCAGGACAGGGCAGGCTTCAGAGCTGCAGTGAGTCACAGGTGACTCGACGGCACATAACAGCAGTAACATACTCAAAAATAATTTTTGCATATTTGCTCATCAGAGCCACGTCTGTTGCTGTGCCAGGTATTCGTGGACACTGTGGGAATGCCAGAGAAGTACCAAGAGCGGCTGCAGCAGCGCTTTCCTGGGATTGAGGTGACAGTCAAGGCCAAAGCAGATGCCCTTTATCCTGTGGTCAGTGCTGCCAGCATCTGTGCCAAGGTCAGTCCCCACTGGGCCTAGGCCAGCTCCTAGCACCTTCCTGGGCAGAAGGTCAGCAGTGCTTGGTGTGGGAGGAGGGATAGTCTGAGTGCCTGTTCTGTCCATAGGTGGCCCGGGACCAGGCGGTGAAGAACTGGCAGTTTGTGGAGAAGTTGCAAGACTTGGATACTGATTATGGCTCAGGCTACCCCAATGGTGAGAGACAGCAGTGCGGCCGCCTCTGAAGCTGCCCCAACACAACACCAGCAGTGTAATACTAAGCTGGCCAGGGCTGAGCATGGTCTGGAAATTTTAGGCAATCTCACTCCATAGCAGAAGAGGCTCAGAGGGAGGTGCCATTGGCCATAGCCAGTATGCTGCAGAGCTGGTCCTCCTCTCACATGGCTGTGTCTCTGCAGCCCCTCTGAGGGATTGAGACCCAAGGTGGACACCTTTTCACTTTAAAGGAACTGGGAAAGACTCTTGTTCAGTAGCTGTGGCTTGATCTCAGTTCCACCACTTGCTTTAAGCTCTGAAGTTCAGCCTCTTCCTCCCTCACACACAGATAAGGGTCTCTGAACATTCAGTGTCTGGGTTCCAGGAACTTTCTTATCCTCTTTGTGGCCCAGAGAGGGCTTGGGTAGGGTGAGCCAGCACAGCACAGCCAGTCGGTAACCGGAACTTGGTGAGAAGCCCAAGTGAAGAAATTAAGTCTGCATCAGAAATAGTTTGGGGGTTCATTCCTCACTTCTGAGCAGCTGGTAGAGACCCTGCATGGCTGAGCCCTGGTTATAGAGCAGTAAGTAATAAAAATAAGAACCTCCCAGGCCCCAGTGAGCTCATCACTCCTTGGGGAGCTTGGCCTAGTGCTGATTTAATTACTGTTGTTCTTCAAGGGTCAGAGCAATCTCTGAGGCAAACTTCCTAAATGGCAATTTGAACAACTGTGGGGCTTGGTGCTGCCTTTGCAAAGATGTTGAAGCAGGAAGATGCTCAAAGTGAAAGGTGGCTTAGGAGGCCCAAGATGAGGTGGCAGGACCTCAGGTGGCTTGGATATTGGGGTTCATCTTAGGTGCCATTGTCCAACCCATTCCCCAGACCCCAAGACAAAAGCGTGGTTGAAGAAGCATGTGGAGCCTGTGTTCGGCTTCCCCCAGTTTGTCCGATTCAGTTGGCGCACAGCCCAGAGCATCTTGGAGAAGGAGGCAGAAGGTGTCACGTGGTGAGTGCTGGGGGGAGAAGGTGAGGGGGAGGTGTAGGCTAATTCTTGATTTGAGAGACTGTTTCCTCTGGAAAAATCAATATTATTACTTCCCTCCAACAGGGAGGACTCCGAAGCAGAAGATCAAGAGGGACTCGGCAGGATCACATCTTACTTCGTCAGTGAAGGTCCCCGTTCCCGCCTCCCTCACCGATACTTCCAGGAGCGCAGTCTGGAATCGGCCACCACCCTCTAACCAAACAGTGACCCCTTCACCTGGCTCTCCTGTGTCCCTGTTTCCAATTAAAACCATTAAGGAAAGCCAGGTCAAGTGTAGGGTTTGTACTTTGGGTTGGAGACAAAGTGGCTGGCTCGCGGCACTGCCTTTGGAAAGCTTGACATAGGGCCATCCAATTGATTGGCTTTATTTTTAAAATACACGGCATATCAGTATGATTCAAATTTAGAAGGACATCCAGAAACTTCCCATCTGCCCTGCCCTCAGCTTGCTGGTGTCTGTGGGTCCTGCAGCGGTAGTGGTGTGACCTGGTGCACATGTGGGCAGATACCTGCTCTTCCTGTAGTTGCATTCTTTTCATTCAGGTGGAAGCAAACTACCCTCAAATTTTTCATGTTTTATTTCACCAGATGTTTGTCCAGAGGCCTTCCTTGTTCCCTGTATGCTAGAGTTCTCTTAAAATGCAAAGTCCTAGCCCCTCTTTAGACCAACTGAACATCTCCAGGGTTTGAGAGTTTTCAATTAATCTCAGACCTGTGGCCCTTTGGGTATTCCTCCAAATGCTTCTGGAAGTCATTGCCCTGGGAGCACCCTCACCTTGTCACCCTCCGTCCCACTCTTACTCTAGCTGGATGGCAAAAGCAACAGCCCGATGGGCCTTCCTCCACTTAAGTCTTCTGTGCCTGTCACCCCATAATCACGTACAAGTGCTTTGGCTTGGTGTTCAAGGCCTTTGCGATTTGAACTCAGCTGCCGTCCTGTGGTCCATATAAACAGCTCAGAGTACCTGTTGTTACATGCCATCAAATGGACAGTTCCTAGAAACCCTGTCCTGTGCTGTCCTCATGATCTCTGTCCTGCTGAGGCCCACTGTGGTAGTCACTGTCAGTCCATCTCATTGAGGGTCCTTATTCCCCTGACCCTCTGCCTTTACCAGCACAATGTCTCTCAGCAAGTGAGATGAAATTTCACTATCCTTTCCCTTTAAAAAAAATGGTGTTTTATTTGTGTACCATCAAACCAGATCTGACTAGTATAGGAGATTGTCCATTCTACAACAGAGCATCTGGTGGATTTGAAACTCAGACCTCTGGGGTTGTAGTGCAGCTTCTTGCCACTAGGCTACCAGAGCTCCCCTCATTATTGTTAACTCCTAAAGAGCCTTTTTGCTGCACTTCCTTCAAGACAGAATTGATTTTTTTGGCAATCTGTGAAACTGCCAAAAACATTGATTCTTCTATTGTCTTTAGTCATTCATTGTCAGATGGATAAGATGCAGTTGAAGATACCATGGCTTGGCCATGAATACCTAGGATAAGATTTACGCATTTAGCTTGATCTGCTCAGAAATCCTTCTGTATCTTTTTTTTATGCCCTTCTTGTCATGTGCCATTGAATCTGATCCGATTGGCACAGGAGGAGATTGCCCCTTCTCCTGAAGCGGAGCATCTGGTGGATTTGAACAAACTACACAAGTGCCTCCATGCCTTGTCACAATAACATAGTAACAGTTCCTAAAAAAAGTAATGGTTGCACTACATGTATTATGTGTTAGATACATTGTAAGCACTTTCTTTGACATTTCTGCTTTGAATCTGCCCTCTTGCCTTGAATATGAGCTGACATTGATGGCTCATTTTAAGTGGATAGAAAGCAACAGAAGACAACACTGCATGACCTCCAAGCTAGGCCATTACAGGTGAGCTAATTCCTAGCTGGGAAGTGTTCCTTGGGACAGTTCCCCGGGAACTCAGCTGCCATCCTGTCTGGGGTCTTTGCACCCACACAGGACACATGTAGTCTGTCTTGGCTGACAACTCTAGCTATAGTTCAAGGCATAGTTTTCGGGGTGACTCCTGTCCTGGCCACTAGCTGCACTGGCGTGAGAGACTTCTAACAGGAATAACCAGCTGAACCCAGTAAGCCACCAAAACCATGGGAGAAAATATATCAATAAATTTGGTAACTTTGAAATTACTACATAGCAGTTGACAATCAGAAAAGCTTGCATTAACATTTAATTCAACTGTTCTGTGAGAGTAATCTTAGTTTTCTTCCTTGAGAAAAGTAGATAACTTACAGATGAGGAAACTGGCTTAGAAAAGCCAAACATGCACAAGTCCAGCATGATTACGTGCGAGAATGGAATTGTAAGCCCCGTACCGCTGACACATGCTTAAAAGTGAAAGTCATTGCAATCTGGAGAGCTGGCAGCTGACCCTCCAGTGCATTCTCAAAGCCACAGATCACTTGGGAAGGATAGCCTTTCTCCCTCGGAGCAGCTGGTGATTTTGAACTGTTAGGCAACAACCTTCGGCTTAGCAGAGCAACTTCCTACGGATTACGCCATCAGAACTCCCTTAGACCCAGGATAATGATGATGTGTGTTTGTCTAGTATGAATTGACTCAGCTGACCCTCCAGCAGGTTTTCAGATGCAGTAAATCGCGTGGGAGGAGATTGCCCATCCTGCACAGTATCTGGGGGATTTGCACTGCCTGCCTTGGGCTTTGCAGCACAGTTGCTTACCACTCAGCCACTGAGCTCCCTCAGGCCTGGGTGGTAGCCTTCATTTTCTATAGTTAGTTTACCTTGATCCTCTGCCCAGCACACCTCCCTCTTTGTTTCATTTCAGTACCTGTGTTTGAGGGATGACCCACCCCTTTTCTCAGTCCATATGATTCAGGTGGACCTAAGCCCATTGATAGAAAACATTTCATAGCCTAGATTAGGCCAGTCAGAGCACAGCAGCTTTCTAGATAGTGTTTGATCTGATGACCAGTTGGAACAATGCTGGCTTTGCAGAGAGTGAGGCCGACTTGCCACCACCTGCCTGCCAACTCATCTTACTTTGGTGGTTTGTGTGTTATCAGCAGGATCACCCATGGGAATAGGTTTCAACAGAATTGCTAGACTTAAACTAGGAAAAACCATGCTTGGCAATTTCTGGAAATCAACCAATAGAACCCCTATGGGTTACAAAAGAATGTCATCCAGCATTGTGCAGCAAGGTGAGCCCCTAGGTTGGAAGTCACTGAAAATCTACCGTGCCTCAAAATGTGCTTGAGCATGCCATTGACTGTGAAGATGGTATTGGACTGGGCATCACTTTGCTGGTGCACACGGTCACCTCACCATGAGTCAAAGTTGATTGCATGGCAACTAACAACAGGGCCACTTTCACCACTGGAAACATGGAATTGCTGATCCATTTATAGATCTGTCCCAGAGTGTACCCCAGGGAAAGAATGCCCTAAGAGGCACCACTTAAGTGCCTGGATACAGCTATTCCTGAAGTTATAGTTAGGGATTTGGGGTTGTTTATTTGTTGTTGGGTTTTTTAGTCACTGTTTCAGATCTGGGGATTATGAAATAAGTTTGGTTTTTGCAGCTGAAAGAACCCTATTTTCTCTGACACCGAATTAAATGCTTTTTTCTTCTTAAAACTGTTCCCTTGCTCTGTTCGGGGCTTCCCCCCCCCATTTTAAAAGCATTCATTCATGGTTGCACATTTTTCTCCCTCCTCCTCTGTTCTCTCTCCCCCAGTTCACTTTGCAATGCACCTCTTGTTCCAGATTGTTGTCATACATTAAAAAAAAAATATCTAATGATATATTCCTTCCAGACGGTTTTCCCCCTCATCTGTTCCAATGCAGTGTTTCTTATCTATTTTCCTGTTCTTCCTCCATGTTTATTTTAAAAGAAAATGCTTGTTAAGTATAGGTCAATCATCTTTTGCACTTGAGTGTGGATCGATTCTAACCCCAGAACATGATCACAGATGAGACTTCTGTCAACATGTGGCAACCCTCTTTCCCACTGATTTCTGCAAGAAGCAGCCACATCCAGTGCTCTAGCTAGTGACTTTATTCAGGAGAGAAAGCGGACTATGAGCTTTCTCTTGGAGAACCTGCAGAGAAGGGAGTCTGGGCCTAAGGACAGAGGGATGGGACTGGGGAATCGGGAAGGGGGTAAGGGAGAGGGGTAGGGAGCTGGATTTCTGGAGGGGGCAGGCCTGGGCGAGGGCTGCATCTCCCACCCAAGACCAGGCCCCATCTAGGGCCCGCTGCCGCTTCCACTGCCACTTCCACTGGAGGCAGGGTCCAGGATCGAGGTACGAGGGCGCCGCCGGAGACGCCAGGAAGTGGCCTCCCGGGCCCGCCGCCGGGGTCTGGGACGCGGCAGCACCGAGGCAGAGACGTCAAGGCAGCGTCGGGATCCTGGAGCTGCCACCGCCCAGGTGCGGCCCAGAACCGAGCGGCAAAGGTGCTCGCCATCCACGAAGGTCTGGGAGAAAGGGTGGGGTCTGAGTGGGCGGGGCCAGGTGCACGGGGGCGGGGCTTGAGGCGTGGCCAAGGATCTGGCCTTGGGAAGAGATGTCCAGTACTTTCAGCGTGGGAAGGGACTAAAGGGCGATGGGACCATGGGGCGGATCCACCTGGGAAGCTGTGGGCGCGACTAGGCTTGGGCCAAAGCCTTGAGAAGGGTTAGGGTTAGGGTTAGGGTTAGTTCCTAGTAGGTCTGGAGGAACGCAGATGAGAGGGAGAGAATCAGGTATGTGGCCTGTGGCAGTGTGTGTGTGTGTGTGTGTGTGTGTGTGTGTGTGTGTGTGTGTGTGTGTGTGTGTGTGTGTGTGTGTCCTGCCTTCGCTGTCCTCCTGGTGGCACTGTGGGCCGGATCCAGTCCGGATTGGTCCCGTGGAGAGGACTAATCCAGACAGCTGGGTCCTAGAGAGGGTGTGGACGCCTCCTAGTGTGGTGGCTGGGTTTTGAGACAGAGGAGGAGACCTGGAGAATGCCCGTCTACGTGATCTAGAGTTTAGGACCAGGACTTGATGAGGGGAGTCTCTCCCCTGTCCTTGCCCTCTGTCCCAGGCTCACCTGCCCATAGGTACGGCAGCCAAGCTCACAGCTCCTCCCTTCGGGCGGTGACAGCCAAGCATGACCACAGATGACATCAGCTTCACAGGAGGAGAGCCTGGGGTTGGCGTGTGGAGAGATGAAGGTAGGTAGGAAGGCCCGCAGTCCAAGGCCCCAGTCGGTGTGTGTCTTGACCCTCCCTCTGAGAACGACTCCCCTGGGAGCCTGAACATTTAGGTCTCTCACTCCCCATGCAATCCACTCTTCCATCCATGCCTAGACCCAGCTCATAAGTGGGCCCACATCTGAAGATCTAGCACCATTCTTCTCGCTCAGCTTCTACTCTTCCTCATTATTTTTTACTTTTTAAAAATAATTTTAATGAAAGTTTACAGAGATTTACGGTTTACTGTTATTCATTGTTGTACTTTTCTCCCTGCCCCCCCCCCCAGTTCATGCTTCTTCTTGAAAAGTAAAACTCTTTCATTGTTACGCAATCTCTCATCCCAAGTCCACTCTACTGCGCAGCCTTTATTCTGGACTCCTGTCATGACAATAATACCCAATCATATATACCTTTTAAACAGTTCTTTCCCTCATCTGTTTCAATACATCATTCCTTCCCTCCTTCCCTGTCAACCCCAGTGTCAGTCCCATTTTACAAAGTGGCCCTATGCAATATTTGTCCTTTTGTGACTGAGATATTTCACTCAGCATAATGCCCTCCAGGATCATCTACTTAGTATAGTATTTCATGAGTTCCTTGTTTTCAATGCTGCATAATATTCCATTGTGTGAATATACCAGAGCTTGTCTATCCATTCATTTTTTTGATGGACACGTGGGTTGTTTCCAGCTCTTTGCTATTGCGAACAAAGCCACAATAAACATGGGTGTGCATAATTTTTCTCACTTTTAAACAAGGGCCCCAATCCTTGAGTACCCAGGTCCATAAAGGCCACAACTCCACACAGTCCTTAAGCTGGGACTGCACTGCCCTACCTCATTCTGTTTCCAATCGAAGACATTGGCTCCTTCTAGTCAGACTATGCACATCCAGCACAGGGCTAAGTTAACAGTAGACACCCCCATTCGGCCCTCCTGGACACTACACCCAGCCCCCAATACCACCTAGTCCTACCAGTCCTCGCAGAGCTCAGCGCAGAGTGGCAGGTGGACCTGACTCCGGAGAGCACTTTGGAGGTGATGCAGGAAGTATTCACACCTGAACATTGAAAGAGACAGACCCCCACGGGTCAGGGAAGGAGAGGGCTTCAGGGCCCTCCTGGGAACAACCGGAACAAGAGATGCCACAGGACACTGCTCACCTGGGACTTGCTGCCGCACAGAGTTCTGGGAGAGTCCCAGGGCCAGATTCCTCCGATGTGTCCATCTCTGAGAGACAACAGGGTCTTGATGAGAGGAAAGCTCATGAACTAGGGTCTTAGATATTAAAGTAGGGGTAGGAAACCAAGTCAAGGTGGAGGGTGTCCTCTAAACAGAGAAAATCCTTATCTACATCTTTTCCCCAGACATAAACCTTAATTAAGTATAGACATATGTTTCATGTGTAAATACAACTTTAAGTAATAATAACCATTTATCACAATGAATTTATTTATCATTGTGCTTTGTAGAGGTGCAATTGCACTTATTTTTTATCTCCACAGACCTCTATGAGATAGGTCTGTTATTTTCTTTTTAATGGACTGTGTGAGGCCCAGAAAGGGTAAGTTATTTTGCTGGTGTCACAGCTAAGAAGTGGAGAGATTAGATTTGAAACCAGACAGTTGTCTCAAGAGCATGTTCTCTTCCTTCTCTCTTTTTTAATTGGTTTACATATAATCATTCATTGTTTCTTTAATTTACATTGTGTGTTATGAACCATTTCCATTTATACAATCATTTGTATATGTTGTTTCATTCCTGTACAGTTTGTTTTGTTTTATAAAATCATTTCTATATGCTGTGTTTTATAATAATTAATTACTATTGATCTGTGGCTTTTGCCAACCTGTCTCATCACCTAACGTCCACTCTTTGGCACTAGTCCTCACTGTCCATCCTGGTGGCCCCTCTCACAAGAAAATTCTGGTATGGTGAGGGTTCCTAGATGATAGGGTTAGGTAGGTTCTGAGGCACTCACCTGCCAGATGCAGCTGGCCTGCATCCAGATTGGCTACCAGCCCATGGTGTCCCCAATGTCTAGCTTGGATCAGGCGGCTCCCTCCACAGGCCCCCAGCAGAGTGCATGCCAGGGTTAGTTGAAGGGACCAGGCCAGGCTGCTGGATCCAGTGTAGCCCCTGGCCATGTCCACCTGAGATAAGAACCAGCTGGGGTGGAGGGATTAGGCCGTCTCTTTCTGGGAGCTCAGTGGCACCCTCCCAGTGCACAGCCAGGAGGCAGTGCCAGGCAGGTTAGAGGCTGCAAAGCTCATTAGGAGCCTGTACAATGGCTGGAGCCTTCAAATCCCAAGGGGCACCAAGGTCTGCCTCTAACCCAGGAGCTTCCTCCTTCATCAGATCCATCCCCTTCAGATCCAGGCCACCCCCAAACTTCATGCCCCAGCTTCAATCATAGTCTCTCACCAACCTCAGACCTCAGGCACCCCCTCATTTTTTAGAACAATGGGTGTTCTCCAGCTCTTCTGACACCCAGCCGCCTTCCAGTAATTCCTCCCTCATCTCTGCCCAGCCTCCTCCCTCTCTCTTGATTCCCATGGGCCTCTCTCACGGTCACCTTCTCTCAGTCCACAATCGGCTTAAGGACTGCCTCCCAAGGTTGGGCCTTTGGTACCAAGCTTGGCTGTGTCAGGGCTTGGATTGTGCCCTGAGCCCCAAAAGCTCCAGGTGCAGGGAAAGCTGAGGTAGGGGGGCTATGGAGACAGGACAATCCCTTCCCTATTCCCGCCACCCCAGGCCGGTTCTCACCTGTTAGAGAAGAAGATCTGAGGGCTGCTGAGACACCTCAGGGTCAAGTGCAGGAAACCAGGGAAGTCGAAAGGGGCGTGGTTTCTTACAAGGGCAGGACTTCCCATCTCTCCAGCCCCTCCTCCAGCTGACGAAAGCCCCAGGGACCCAAGGCAAGTGTGTCTATTTATGTTTTTATGTTGTTTGTAACCTAATCTCTAGCTGTTTGTGCTGAGTGTGTGTGTGTGTGTGTGTGTGTGTGTTGACGGTGTAATTATGTGATGTGTGTGCTTGGTGCACCTATCTGTCCCTTGGTGCTGGGTGTGCATTGAACATGTTTGTATGAGTTTGTTGGGTGACTTATGTTTATATTTATCTCTTTTCTGGGTAGTTGTATGTGTATCTGGTTTATAGGGCCTGTATGTGTCCCAGGATATGTGTGCAGCTGAGTAAGAATCAGAAAATTTAAAGATGGTAATATAGGATCAGTGTGGATATCCCTGTGGAGATATTGTAAATCAGTGGGATACTTGTTATTGGCTGTGAGTGAACAAGAGAGAGCATGGTCAGGCGTCAAACAGAGTGTGCGTCTTCATCTGAAATGTATGTATGTATGTACGTGTAGCTGTGTCCTGCAGCTTCTGCGAGTGTATGCTCTTTGTGAACCTTACATCAACTCATTCATCCATTCAATAAACCTTTATTAAGAACCTGGATGTGTCAGGTCTGAGAAGAAACTGTGGACAGAGCATATAAGGCTATACTCTTTTTTGTTTGTTTGTTTTAAAGTTTGCAACTTATTGCTTTTTTAAAAATAATTTTAATGAGCATTTACAGAGATTTTGGATTTCCATTAATAAGGCTATACTCTTTAAAAATTGATATAGTGAAGGAGATGAGAGACAGCCCATGCCTTTAGGGGTGTGGGTGTGTGTTTGCCCATACGTTATGCTTGCTAATTGTTGTTAGGTGCTGTCCAAGCAACTGCAACTCATAATGACCTTATGAAAATGGAGCTGAACCTTGCATTATCCTGTGTCAACCTTATTATTTATAATATACTTGAGCCCATATTACAGTCATTGCATCAATACATTTCATTGAGGATCTTCCTCTCTTTCGCTGACAAAGCATGATGTCCTGTCCAAGGACTAATTCTTCCTCATAACATGGCCAAAATATGGGAGAAGAAGCTTCACCATCCTTGCTTCCAAGGAGTATGCTGACTGTTCTTTCTTGAAGACATATTTGTTCTTTTGGCAGTCCCTGGGATATTCAGTACACTTCTCCATCATGACTTAAAGACATTGATCCTTCTCCTATCTTCCTTAGTCATTGTCCAACTTTCAGATGTGTAACAAGAAATTGAAAAGACAATAGCTTGAATGAGAAGCACCTCAGTCTTTAAACTCACATCACTGCTCTTTAACACCTTAGAGAGCTCCTTGACAGCAGAATTACCCAATGCAAAGTGTCTTTTGATTTCTTGACTGCTGGTGCCAAGGATGTTGCTTAAGGAAAGAGTATATTTGCACATAACTGAGCTCTGGTTCTGAATTATTTGTGTTTAATTGAATGTGCTTATATATTTGTCTTTATTGTGACTACATTTGTTGAGTGTGTGCATGTTTTCTAAGTATGTGTTTGTATGTAGCTGTTTATATACTTATAGAGTATGTCTTTTATTTGTACACGTGTTTGTATGTGTTTATGTTTGCAGAATTTGTATTTTCAGAGTCTTTGTATTTGCTTGGTATTTACCTAATGTGTAAATGCATTTATGTGAGTCTGTGTTTACTGAAAAGTGTTGGTATACTTGTGCTTGCAGGGTGGGGGTGTGTGTTGTGACTACTACCATGAGTCTGTTGTATGTATCCCTCTCACTAGGGTGGGACTGAGTTTCTGTTTATCCCTCACTGCTCTCGGAAGTTTCCAGAATACAACTTACCAACTATAGGTGCTCAGTGTCAAGTAAATGAAAGCTTCAGGCAGCTGTCTCGTGACCTCTTCATAGGTCCTTGGTGATGTCCTGTAAATTCAGCCTTCATAAGCTGATCTGTCTTGGGCATGCTTCAGGGTGCTCATAGGTTCGGCCAGCCCACTTTTGGGCTTCTACCTCCTACTAGGCATAGACCTTTGCATCCCCTAACCTCATTTCTCATCTAAATGCAGGTTTCAGCACCATGGACAGGTGCTTGTGGGATCAGCACCAGGGAGAGCAACCGAAGAAGCCACCACTTTGAAATGGAACTCCAGAAGGGAAGTCCTGACCATGGACAGAGTGAGGTAAAAAAAAAAAAAAAGGAAAATAAGAAAGAAATAGACTCAGCAACACAACAGCTCTGCATGATGCTGAGAGATAGAAAGACAAAGAGACTCTGAAATTACTCAGGCAAAGGTGTAAAGCCGCTGATAAAGAGATGGGTTCTAGCCGCAGGAACATCCAATTAGAGACCTCACCTTTACTCCTATTGGTGAGCAGACAGTGCCCCACCCAATGACGACACCCTCAAGGTCCCTGGGATCTGCCCTGAGCCCAGATCCCTAGGCTTTCCCTCCCTACCCTGCTGCCGAATGCTCAGATCGTGAGTGAGGTCTCCGAAGTTCCCCTCTTCAGCTCCAGGAAACATGGCCCCTCTGCAACCCCTCTTCTCAACTACCAGCTAATCGCTCCTATAAATACAGCTGGGCTGGCCTGGCTACTTAATTCCGAGCAGGAGCGAGGAGGTTACTAGATTTAGGGTTCTCTGCTCTCTGGGAGAGCCTAAGCATTGAAGAGGGTGGAGAGGAAGGAGAATCTATTTGTGTAAATATTTTTCTGAAAGGACTTCTCCATGGGAACGTTTTCCCAGGATCTCTCTTGTAAAGAGGGGTCTCCCGGAGTGAAAACCGTCGCTTTACCAGAATGTCTTTCCTTAGAATGTAGAGTCAGGTGGGCACAATCTTCCACCAGGGTGTATGGCTTATTTGAGAGGAGAGGTCTCGCTGGAATGTTGAAAGGTCACTCGTGGGGATGCGTTCCGGTCAATGTCTCTTCATAGGGTGAAGGGGTATTTGAGGAGCATGGACTCCGGGGGTCATTTTTCTAAGGAATTATTTTCGAGGTCTGAGAAGATTTCTTGATTGGGGGGAACCTCCCTGTGCACCCTTCTCCCCGGAGGAATGTGAGTCCCTAGAGGGGGTCGCGGGAAGGGGGCTGTCACATGAGGAATGTCTCTGGTTAGGGTCTCCTCACGCGAGTGGCTCTCCCCTAGGGTGGCCCTGTTCGGGGTCTCTCCCGGTGGCCTGGCTCCCACGAGGCCATCTGAGGCCCCTCCCCCGCGCGCGGGCAGCTGTGGCCAGG